GGGGAGCCACCCCGGGGGGGCTGGTAGGGCCTGGGGTGCCCCCAGCCTGCCGCGAGGTTACATCAGTGCATTTGGTCCCGGTTCGCCCTGTCCGGCCAGGGCTGCTCCCCTTTGGCACAGCGTGGTTGGGGGGGCCCTGCCTGGACGGGACGGGGTGGGTTTTTGGTCTGGTTGGGGGAAAGGGCATAATGGGGTGTGGAGGGGGTGCGGGGACCGCCCCCCCCCCGGGGGGCCAAGGGAACTGATGGAGGGGTCGGAGGGAAGAGGGCGCCCATGCCCCAGCACCCCATGGCAGGGTTGGCGGCTGGTACTTCTTGAACATATCCTGCAGCGGGCCAGGCAGGTACTTGAGGACGGTGTCCAGGATGCTCTCCTCCTCTTCCTCCTCCTCGTCCCCGCAGCCCGCCGGGATCGCCTTTTTGGGGCGCGTCAGGCTGCCCTCACACGGCTGCTCCAGCGCGGCTTTCTCCTCCGCCTCCTTCTCCTCCTTCTTCTTCAGCCCGTACTGCAAGGACACAGGCCCTTAGTGGGGCAGGCAGCCGGTGCTGCCCATGCTGTGCCCCATGCCTGTCACCACTGCCTCGGGCCACCCTCCTCCCTGGCCATGCCGGCTCCCTGCCCCAGCCTCACTCCAGGTGCCACGGGCAGGGGTGGGTGCAGGGAAGGCATGTGCCCACCTTGTCACGGATCTGCTGCCGGACTTTCTCCCGCTCAGCTTCCATGCGGGCGTGCTTGGCTTTCCGCTCCTCCTCCTGCTGGCGCAGGGCCTCCTGCCTCTCCTCCTCCTTCTTCTGCGCGTCGGGGTCCTTCTCCTCCTCGCCCCCCAGCATCTTCCCCATGTCCTTGGTGGCCCCTGCACAGCACAAGACCATCAGCTGGTCCCCAAGGGTGCTGCAGCCCGGTGCTGGCTGCTGAAGCCCATGCAGAGGCAGGGAGGGCATGGAGCCCCCCGGCAAAGACAACCCGGGACGTCCCCAGGGCCACCCGCACTGGAGCCGGCTGCAGACAGGCTCCCGAGGCTGCGGGGATGGGGAGTGCCGCGGGCTGGCTGCGCTGCCCTAGTTCGGCATCGGCTGGGGGAGATGCCGGCAGCTCCTTCGGCACTGGCACCCAGGGGACCTGCCGGGGAATCCCACTTAGTGGTGGGAGAGCCAGGATTCCCTAGCCAGGCGCTGCTGGCGCTGGAAACGGGAGCTCCGGAGGGCTCCGGCAGCAGCTGCCCGCTGCCAGCAGCTTTCCCCACGGCTCTGTCCCCCCACCATGTCCCTCCCACCGTGCTCCCTGGGGTGCCAGGCTGTCCTTGCTCCCAGAGGGGGGACCCTGAAGGGGGACAGCACCCACTCACCGCCCAGCGCTTGCTTCATGACGAAGTCCATGGTGCCGGTGCGCGCGTGCGGCTAGGCCAGTGCCCAGCTCTCATCCACTGCCGTCCAGGCTCGCCGACCAGGGCCACCTGTGTGGGCAGAGAGGGACGCGGTCAGGGATGCCGTGCCCAGGGTCCCCACCACCCAGGCACGAGGGATGGGACGGTCCCTCAGTATGCACCCTCTGCATCTCCAGCCCCAAATGCCTTCTAGGATGGGCAGAGGGAGCTTTTGGGGTCTGCAGGCAGAGGGTGGGCAGATCTGCCAGCTGGCAGTGCCTGCTCCCCTTGGCCCCCTCCCCACATCCCCTTGCGGACCTGCGGAGGGACTTTCCACCCCAGCACTGCCCTCAGTGGGGCAGCAGGAGCCCAGGAGCTCCAGGATGCTGCCTGGGGGCTGGTGGGATGGGGACCCACCGCACCACCACCTACCGCGTGCCCCTGCTTTGAGCGTGGGGGGACAGACCCTGCCTGGGGATGCCAGTGCGGCGCAGCTGGACATGGGGTGCTGTGTGTGCGTATATGCATGTGGGTGTCTCGCAATGCATGTGCTCTGCAGAGGGATGGAGAAGAGGCTGCTGGCAGGTTGTGACAGTGTTCGGGGGTTGTAGGCAGCAGCCTGTGACTGTGTGTGTGATCCCCGTGGGGTGCTGGGGATGGGTGACAGCGTGCAGGGGCACTGCGTGTGCAGGATGGAGCGTGTGTGTGCACACGCTGTATTTGCGTGCATTCTCTGTGTGTGAGCTGTATGTGCAGGTATGCAAGCTGTGTTTGGTCAAGAGGTGTGGCTGCAGGCTGTTTGCATGGGGGGTGTGCGCATGTGTGCATGTGTGTGTATAAGTTTGTGGGGCTACAAGCTGGGTGTGCCCACACGGTGTGCGGGTTTGCAGCCTGTTTGCAAGCTTGGAGTGTATGCGTGTGTGAGTTTGGGGGTTTGCAAGCTCTGTCGATGTGTGTGGGTGTGTGCGTGCAGAGGTTTGCAGGCTGTTTGTGTGCGCTGTGTGTGTGCCTGTGCTGCATGTATGTTTGCACACTGGGGGGGTTTGCAGGTTGTGTTAGTGTGTGTGTAGGGGGCTGTGCGTGCAGGTCTGTGGGTTTGCAGGCTGCCCGGGGGGGGTGTGTGCACACAAATTTGCAGGCTGTGCCGCGTGTGTGTAACTGTGGGGGTGTTGCAGGCTGTTCGCATGCTCTCTGTGTGTGTGCATGTGGGGGATTGCAGGCGGTGTGTGTGTGTGGGAAGGGGGGGGTGTGCGTGCCCATGCCCCCCACGTGTCCTGCGTGTGTGTGTGTGGGGCTGCAGGCTGTGCTCACAGCCTGGGTGTGCAGTTTGCAGCGTGCGTGTGTGTGTGCGCGCGTGCCCGGTGGGTGCCGCAGCCTCGCGGGTCCCCCCACCCCGGCTCCCCGGGACC